TAACTGGATGACATTCTATAGCCTGTGCTCTACCCAAAGCCAGACTAGTTAATCCAACGGTCTCGTCAGGCCTGAAAAGCTATGAACAGATACAATAATAACTGTGGTTTTTTAATTGAAATTCTTGGCTAGATACAGTGGTATAAACTATTCGTTTTATTGTCTTCCCAGTGAGCGAAATTCATCTCTGTGCAGAGACTAGATCAAGGCCAGTTCTTCACGTAAATTGCCACTGAAGTCCTGTGCCGAGGGCTTACATGGGGCATGATAAAGGTTATTGATGATCCTCTGCAGAGAGGTGGATCCCATTCTTTGTCTGTAGCAAGGGCGTTGTGCTGGCTGCAGCAGAGTTGGTGTGATGCTCAGACACTCATTTCAGTTATATGAAAATCATATAAAGTCCTGGGGAAGAGGGTATGATCGGTGTTGCAGTGCCACCTGGGCCACCTCCAGTATGTTTCATGGGATAGATTTAATAAAAGAAAGAAAAAATGTGACATAGGTGCAGAGTGGCCAGATTAAAATTACACAAGGGCTCTTAACTTCTCCATTACCTGTGTTTTATATTAATTCTGCAACCTGAATGGTGCATTATTAATGAAATTGATTTAATTTCCCTGATTGATTTTAAAGAAGAAATGGCTTCCAATTCCTGCTCAACTGCATTAAGGATTTAAAGAGGTTCACATGTTCTGTCTTAAAGCAGCATAAGCACTAAAGTAAGTAAGACCTTCTAGCAACAGAAGAGCTAAGAATATAGAAGGACAGTTAGGCACTTGTGGAAGTGCACGTGCAGAATATCTGTGGGGGGGTTGCTCTGGTAGCAATCAGATTTAGCAAAATTCTGCTGCTTCAGCATTTTCAGTGGTTCATTGTTTTATTTGGAGCTGCCCAATTTATTTCAAACCAGAGAATACTCTTGAGAAAACTCCTCTCTGTGGATTACCTACTTGGCTAAGTTTCAGTATAATCATTTATACTGTCCAGTATAAATCTCTTTCTCTACCATCTGTCTCATGCCCACACCTTCATATTTATTTTTTACTTCTTTCTAAGGAAGGAAGCCTTTGTAGCTTGACTCTGTTAGTAGCCAGTGCTTGGTTGGGCATCAAAAGGCTGTGAATTCATTCTCCTGAAGTCCTTTCTCAGCTTTTGCTTAGCCATTACTTAAGATTTCAGAGGGAATGTGCCCGAGCAAGGACCTCAGAATTTGGTTGTTTTAGCTTTAGTTTGGGCTCTAAAAACACCAATACATTGCCAAAGGAACTTTGAGAAACAAAATCCCATTATTCTGCAATTTGCTCTAAAAATATCCACCCTGTCTCTCCTTGGTGTAAATCATAGCCCCATTAAGATGCATGGAACCATGCTAATTAAAACCAGGAGAAGATCTGTCCCAGTGTGTCTCAATCTTCAGAAAGAAACAGGGGCCAGTGAGGGACATCCACATTTTGTCAGGTGACAAGAGAAATCTTTCTGTTCCATTCCCCATCCTCTCTCCAGCCTACTAGTTCAGACGTCTAGCTATGATAAGGCATTTTTCAAGAAATGAAGAACCACCATGACCGGGCACCCTTGTGCCTATAATATCTGAGAAGCCAAAGAGGAAGAGCAAAGGAATTGCCAACCCTGTTACTGAAATAGGGGAGGGATTGCGTATCCTGTCCAGCCTCAGAAACAAGTCAGTAAAACGAGGCCCCTTTTGGCGTTCCCGCCATGAGCTACGCGTTCAGAAATCGGCACTGCGATTGCACCTGCCCAGCCTGCCCAGCCTCCATTGCAAGAGCCTGCTGCATAAATGTTCACACGCGTTGCTTATTTCGTGCACAAATGGGGGATTTGCACCCAGGTTTTTGCAGGCACAGTATAAGCACCGCGGTGTGGAACTGGGGTCCTGTCTGACAAAAGGTGGGGGGGAGGCGAGCTGACAGGAAAGGGGAAGGAAACGCTGCATGTAACACACTGCTTTGGTTCATTTCTATTTGTCATGTAGTTGATTTGTTTTGTCAGTACAAAAAGAGTCTTCGTGCTGGCCAGCCAGGGTCCTAGCGCTCAGTGCAGCTCCCCGTCCAAGGCCAGCTCACACTGTAACGTTTTGGCAACTTAATCAGAGTGAAAGAGAAAAACACACCTCCCCGCTGACATCCCTCTGCCAGCCAGACCGCAAATGTAGACAGGGCTCAGGGAGATGGAGTTACTAGCTGGCAGAAGAGTTCCCCAACCCCATCAGTTGCATTTCCCAGCGTGGCTCTGCCAACCCAGCGGTTGTGGCGTAGACAACGCTGAGCTGCACCTCTGGCGGGGCATTGCAGTGTGTGTGGCTGAGGGGGGATCTGGCTTTTACGTTGCCCAAGGGCAATTGCCTCCAGCAGATCAAGGAAGAGGGCTACTAAAAAGTCGTCCTCCGCTGAGAAATGTGTTGCCTGGGGGGAACTGGGTGGAAAGCAGGGGTAGAATCAGGTGGGGGTGAACGCTGTGGGCTGTAGAAGAGGTGCATTGGCTGCCGCGGGATGTTGTGTTTGCTTTATTCCCTTGAAAACAGCAAGGAGAGAGGTCTCTGACTGACGTACCAAGAGCTAGGTACCTAAGCCAGTGCTTCCGGGGGGCTTTTGGATGTGGCGGCATCTGCCCGCACAGGGAAGTTATGGAGGGTCTGGCTTCGTGATGAGTTCTCGGGGTTGGGCCACGTGCAGCCTGCAGAGCAGGTGCCAAGCTGGGAAGTGGAGAGGCTGCGCTCTGCTCCATCTCACGGGATGAAGTGCAGCTTTCCAGCTCCTGACTGACGGGGCCATTTTGGGAGCCAGCGTGGGAGCAGGGACGTGCTCTCGGCTGGCAGCGTTGCAGTAGAATTCCCGGGGCACCGCAGGCTGCAACAGAACTCTGAGCATGCCGTACATTTCACCTGATTTACTTCCTGTGTAAACTGTCTCCAGAAGGAACCGGATTAGGGCTGTTGCGGGGGCAGGTCATTTGCGCCAGCCGTGGTGAGTGGCTGTGATTTACGGGAGGGAGCAGCCGGGTTTCATTTACTGGGGACTGTTGTCACTATTCACATTTTGTTATAATGAGTTACTGTGGGACAAACGGCGCAGTCCCTTACTCGGAACTCCAGGGGCTTGGCGTGGCAGGCTTTGGCCAACAGGGAAAGCCTCTTCCATGTCGTCTTGCAAGGATGAAATCGGAGAGCTCAGCTCGAGATGACTGGGTCACGCTGGGGACCTCGCCAACCCTTGAAGCTTTGAAGGAGTTGCAGCAGGAGCATACGGTTCTTCTGATTGATCAGCTCAGGTCCTGGAGGAGAGGTGGCAGGCGAAGAGAAAAGAAGGGCAATTTTCTTCTTTACTCCTCCCATCATTTCTCCTGCTCATCTCCTCCTTCCCAGATCCGTGTTCCCCTAGGCTCCCTTCTCCTGGGTTCCCTTTTCGATGAGCAAGAATAAGAACTGCTCCGTTAATCAGCTGGGGGAGAGGATTGGAGTGGGGGGAGGTTGCAGAATTGTAGAAATTAGTGACAGAAAAGACCTGGATGGCCACCTAACCCCTTCCTTTGCCTGCAGTGTGTCTTGTAGCACTGTCTCCAGGCTGGTTAAAAATGCCCCAGTGTGGCCAGGCCCATGTAGATGATACCCCTCCCCCCAGCCTGTTAGTTCCTGATACTCAGCCTCAATCAACTTTTTCTCAGTCAGATTTCTGAGCACTAAGTGCCAGGGCGAAATGCTGGAAAGCTTTGGTCTGTGAAGTGCCCTGTTTGGGGGTCAGAGTGCCCCTGGTATGGCCGCTCGGCACATGCCAGAGCATCCCAGCCACTCTCCCTGCTCAGACACCTGGGGGCCCTTCAGATGGGTCCCCCTTTCCTGACTGCTCAGGTTGTTCTTAGGGAGCTTTAGCACACGAGCGTGTCTCTGCCACAGCTCCCGGAATGGGGAGTTAGCCACTCATCTTGCTAATTACTCGAAGTGATGGAAAATCTTCTGACAAAGCCATTTTCCATTGGAAACTGCTGAATTGAGGGAAGCGAAATGTTCCACGCGAGCAGGCTGATCCGGTTGAAATTTTCAGTGGAAAGCAGCAGCTCGGCCGGCTGTTCTGCAGGGTTTCCTGCCAGCTCCTGGCCTTTCTGCAGGGCTGTCCCACTCCCAGGGATGCCCTGCTGTCAGCAACCCCTCTTGGCGGTTTTTGATTTGGTTTGGTTTTTGCTGAATGGAAATTCTGTTTCCCAGGCGTGTCTGCACTATGGAGGTTGATCTTCCAGCATTTGATTTAGTGGCTCTCATGTAGCCCCCCAAATCGAACACTGAAGGCAGCCCCCACTGGCATCCTGTACCCCTCATTCTGAGAGGAGTAAGGGAAGCCGACGAGAGTGTGTGCTCCCGTCAGCCTCCTGCGGTATAGACGCCGCGGCGGCTCGGCTTAAGGTAAACCATGGCTGGATGGCCCAACCTGCCTGGTCTAGTGATTCTTATTTGCAGTGGTATCCAAATGTTAAAGCACAGGCAAAGCCCAATATAATTTACATGGATCTTTGAGTCTTGGGTTTTTTCCTCCAGCTTCCACCCTGGACCCTTGTTTTCTTGTCTCCACCCACCCATTGCTCACTGGTTCCAGTCTGTCACCTGTCTGGAGGCAAAGTGCTGCTGTCCGCGTGCTGGGACCAGCTCGGAGGGGTTGCTGGGCTGGGCTGTTATGCTAAGGGGATCGCCCCTCTTTTCCTATTTTTCTTACTCCCGGAGGGTGCTGTGCCAAGGCAGCAGGCTGCGCACTGGGATGCCTGTGCCGAGTGGGGGCCCTCCTCGTGTGCCAGGTTGCACGGTGGCTCTGTTACACTGAAGCCCCGGGTTTGGCACCTCCTCTGTCCCACCCTAGCCAGCTGGGAAGCAATTCAACAGAAAACGTGTCCCTCTGCTACAACGGCTCCTGCAGAGAGACCCTTGAAGTGACCCCGCAGGCAGGCTGTCAACCTGAAACAGACCATTGATCAAGGTGTGTTTTGTTTCCTTTCAGGGAATCTGACTAAACATATGAAGTCAAAGGCCCACAGCAAAAAATGTCAGGAGATGGGCGTGTTGGTGTCTTCACTGGTGGAGTTGGAAGCCGAAGAAGGTACAAATTCTCTAAACTGTGGGGTTCTATCACGCAGTGTTCGGGTAGCAGAATGGGCATCCCCCTGGATGGAGCAGTCGGGGGCGCCAGGGAGCCTGGGCGTGGCTGACCAGACCTGACTCAGCTGCAGGGCTGTGCTTGGAGGAAACTCTTCATGGGCGAATGGGGCTTAGATTGTCCCCCATCTGCCCAGGGAGGGCGGGGCTGCACGTGCCCGGGAACGGTCTGGCGCAGGCGCGGGAGAACCACTGATTCCGCAGGGCACCGCCCGTCTCCCGCAGGAGTGCGCCCCGGTGCTGCAGGACTGTGCTCTGCGCACACGGGGTCCAAACGGGATACCGTGCAGCGGGGCGCTTGGCTGATGCGAAGTCGGTCTCGTGGAGGAGACACAAAACCAAAGCCCTGCTCTCTAGCCCTGTTACACCCTCCAGGGCTTTTCAGGAGAGGAGCAGCTCCCTGGCTGACTTTGCACCCTGCCAGCTTCAGCACCGCACGGCACAGACGCCGCGCTGCTGCGGGCTTAGCGTGCAAGGCCAGACGGGAAGCCGAGATCATTGTGGGACCTCCAGGGGGCGAAGTGACCCCTGTGATCACAGTGCCTGAAACCTGATGCGGGAGCTGCTGTGAGGTGCGCTCTGTAAATAGCCCGTCCTACAGCCCAGGTGAGCCCTTCCTCGCAGAGGACACCTGAGGATCCCTTTGCCCACATCATCCCACCAGGTGATTCAGTTTTCCTCGGGAGGCATGTGTGGCCAGCCCCAAGTCTGCATCCCGTTCGCCCCCAGGATTCACACTGGCTGTGGCCCGCTGGTCCCCGTGCAGCAAAACTCCGCAGCCTCCTGGTGGCTACTCCCGGGGGCCTCCAAGACAAAACTATAGCCTGTGGCTGCATTTCCAGGTGGACAGCAGCCTTCAGCTACCTGCAGGGGGTTCCAAAGAGGATGGGGAGAGGCTGTTCTCAGTGGGGGCAGATGGCAGAATGAGCAGCAATGGGCTCACGTTGCAGTGGGGGAGGTCTCGGTTGGATATTAGGAGGGCGGGGAAGCACTGGGATGGGTTCCCTGGGGAATCTCCATCCCTAGAGGTTTTTAAGTCCTGGCTGGACAAAGCCCTGGCTGGGATGATGGAGTTGGGTTGGTCCTGCCTTGGGCAGGGGGCAGGACTCGATGCCTCCTGAGGTCTCTGCCAGCCCTGGGATTCTGTGATCCCCGGGGCGCTGGAGGGAATGTGATGTGCACTTCCTGATCTCACCCCCAGCCAGCCCTGTCTCCTGTGTGGCCTCTCCACTCCCCCCACACATCCCCTGGGAGGCCAGGGAGGGAGGGGTGCTGAGGAGGTCACAGGGAGGTGGAAATCTGCATGCAGAGAGAGGCTCCTTTGCATGTGCGTATCCAGGGGGCTCAGTAATGGGTAGGGCACCTCCCAGCAGTGGCGCAGGCCATCAGATGGTAGGTGGGTGACACCGAACCTTACAAGTCTGTTTGACTCAGTCCGGTGCTTAGTTCTCTCCCCGGCATGCGCCCTCACCCCCACCATCCCATTCAAGCGCCTGTGAATTGAGGAGCCTCTTGTGTTCCTCTGACCAGCTGCTTTGAGCTTTAAGCTTCTTTAGCACAGGCATTTCCCGTGGGGCCTGCGGCCCATGGCCCAGTTTCACTGCTGTGGGCCCAGGGAGATGCTCTCTTCCCTGGGTGTCATGGAGACCGTGAGGTTTGCCCTCAGCGGCAGCTCCTTTTCCTGCGAGCCGGGCCCAGCTGGGTGTTGTGACCTGGCTCGTGGGGTCACAACGCAGCCCATTTGTGTCTGGCCCAGACAGCCCTGTCACCGCCGAGGGGCATGCACGCCGTGCCTGACTCACCTGGAGCAGGAGCTGGGCCTCGACAAGTGTTTCTTAAACTTTTTAAGACCGAGAACACCAAACAATAATTTTTTTGTCGAGGAACACAAGGATTTTTAGTTGAGGGAAAAAGGGGTTGGGGGGAATGTTATTGAGGGAAAAAAGGATCAGGAGAAAGTTATTGAGAAGAAAAAAGTCGTCTGCCCCTTTAAAGACGACCATTTTGAATTCTGTTGCTCTCCCCGGCACACCTCTGACTGCCTCATGGCACACCGGTGTGCTGCGGGACACATTTAAGAAACACCGGCCTAGACCAAGGGCCAGCAGCCACAGCTCACCGTGAGGGTGGGCTCATTCTTTGTTCCCCATACAGGGGACCCACTGTGGGCAGGACTCAACCATCCAGGCTCCCCAGAGGCTGGACCCACATCCCTAGGGGCTCCCACCCCTGAGGGGCAGGACCCAACCCCCCCATGGCCTCGAATCTCTCAAGGTCCCCCATGTACTTCCCTGCCCACTGCAAACGGGGCTCCTGTGACTTTGCACCATTTCCCAGTCACTGACATGTCAGTGCAGGGCGAGCGAGAGCTGCAGGCGGGGAGCAACGCGAACACAGGCGGGTCGCAGGGAGACGTAGCTCTGTGAGCCACAGAAGGCTGAGCCCCGGCAGCTGCGCAGGGTTAGATGACGAGCTCTTTGCGCGCCGGATGATGTTTTTATCGTTGTATTTTACTGACGCTCTCGGTATCCTGGGCTGCAGGCTCAGTGCAGGGGTAAGTGGAAAGAAGCCTTCAGGGATGGCAGATGTCTTGGAGTGCCGGTGTTGGTTTGGGGGCTCCTGCCAGTGGGTCCTTTCTAGAGACAGTGCATCTGCATTCAGCACACAGGGAGCGAAATCGGACACCTCTCCCTTTCCCTGCCCCGACGGAGCAGAGCGCCAGGGCGGGGCGCTAGGTCAGCCTGGCGTTCTCCATTCGCAAGGCCTTGCAGAGCTGATGGGACACCACTGACCCCCTCCCCACCTCCTTCACCAGAGCAGCTCCTGCAGCTTTGCCTGCCCCTTCTAACAGCCCCTCCCAGCCTGAGCTGGTCTGATTCCTGGCTTAACAGGAGCCTTATAAAGCACAAAGCAGCGGTTACGTTTTGCAAAGCCCTCGTCAACCAAACAAGCTCTGGAGACGTTGCTGTGAGCCGCTGGAACGTTAACTCAGCAGGAGCAACAAACCGTGTGTCACTCCCCCGAGTCACACTCCTCAGAAACTCCACTGGGAAGAGGGGCGTTCCCAGGGCACAGAGAGGGTCGCTTGCTTCCCCGGTCAGAGGTACCAAACAGGCAAAGAACCTGGTTTTCCCCAGGCCTGTGCTGGAAACAGGAGTTGTTCCCTGAAGGATAAGCCCTGCTCCGGCTTTGTAGAAGGACTGTCCCACTGTGTGCGTCTCAGGCATGTGCAGGCTCAAGCTCTCCTTCTGGTGACCGAGGGAGGGAACCTGTCCAGAGTTTATCCTTGCTTGGCCACACTTAGGAAAGTAATGGTGGATCAGCTGAAGATGGGACGCCAAGGCATGTACGTTAAAGGCTGTTAAACCCCCTTTCAGGAGTAAAATGGCCTTGGCGGGCTGTAAATTAATCCTCCTCCTGCTGCCATCCACCCCCCGTGTATCTCTAGAATGCCAGCCACAAGTCTGTCCAGGTGCCCCTGTGGGGCGTAGTGGGGGGGCCGTCTGCTCTGTAACCCGGGGTCCCCCTGCGCTGGGCTGTGTCATTCCCACTGACTCACCCACAAGTGGATTAACCCAGACACCTAGGCCCAGCCTGAGGAGATAACGGGAGAGACAAGGGGAGAGAAGCGAAGACCAACACCAGGTTTCGGGGGAAGGGGCAGTTGCTGGCTGGGAAACATGAAGGAAGCAGCCTTAGCCGAGGGCTGAGGGTCTAGTGATGGTAATGGACCTCCTAATCCAAGGGGTCTGAGGCATCCTGGCCCTGACTCCTGAAACCACCTCCCATCTGTGCCGTGCTGTACCCTGGAGGAGCAATAGCCCTTTCTATACTACTGGCTGGTGGAGTCTCATCTTGCTGCAGACGGGGAGCAGGATCGAGGGGTCCCCAATGTGCTGCCACACTCTCCCAAGATGCCCTGCGTTGTGCTGGCTAATGCTTCAGCGGAGCAGGCTGCTGGGCCGCTCTGGATCCCGCTGCAGTGGGGGTGGCCTCCCCACGCCAAGCCCTGTAACCCCCGGGTCCCTCTTGTCCGTGGAGTGATCGAGGCGACTGCCGGGGGCCCCCCAAAGTGCAAGGCCTGGGACATCTGCCCCAATTCATCCTGTGGACGGGACGGCTCTGCTCAAAGCTTTGCACAGACGCCCTTGAGGGCGCGTGTGGACGTGACCTTCCCGAGGCCCCACAGACAGCCGGCGTGACCGCTAGGATGAGGGGTTCCCAGCGCCACTCCCCAAGCTCAGCGCTCTCGACGCCACTGCCTCCCTTACGCCTTCTGCACCAGGCTGATCCCGGGCGTAAACCATCGTCGCTCCTCTCGTCTCAGTGGGTTGACGCGGGGTAAGACCCAGAACCTTCCTCAGGTCCCCAGGGATCCCCCGTTACGTAGCAGGCCCACCTCCGGGCAGGCAAGCGTCAAGCTGTGGGGGGGGGGGATTTTTTGTCTCACGGGAGAGGTTCTTGAGAAAATGGTTTTCACGGATGTGGTGCGGGGTGTGAGTGTGGTTTCAAACGGAACACAGCCCTGTAGTCCTAAGGATGGAAGATGCCGGTGCTCCCCCGTCCCAAGCAGAGGCAGTACGATGGCTTTTTCTCCCCTTGCTGCTGGAGCAGGGTGCATTGCTGAAACGGATGCTTTGCTTTGCTTCAAATCTGACCATGCTTTAGGCTTTTGTCCTGCTCTTCAGAGCAGCCTTTCCTTCACGCTGAGGCTCTCTTTGTTTGGCAGGGGCACTGCTGGAGTTCAGCGTGGCGGGAGGAGGGCCAGGAAAAAAACAGTCTAGGCTTTGCCGGCGACAGTCCCAGGGGAAGCGTGTTAGAGCGGCAGTAGCCAGCGGAAGTCGGCGCCCGTGTCAGATTGCTGGAGGTCTCCTTCGGTCTGTTAACTCACTTCGAATAATTGATTAGCTGATGGCCTCTTCAAATTTCCCCCTGCTGCTCAAC